AAATCATATGTTTTCCGGATGCCACCTTTCCTTCAGGAGTTAGGCCACGGCGTATCTTGCATTTGTTGGCAAATAGCCAATTGAGCATTGAAGCTCAAAATTTGAAACTGACTTCAAATTCTAAAAGTAAACATATATTCAGGTTCCCCAACAGTTGGGGAACACGAAAAATCATGTTTTCCGGATGCGACCTCTCCTTTAGGAGTTAGGGCACAGTGTATCTTGCATTTGTTGGCAAATAGCCAATTGAGCATTGAAGCTCAAAATTTGAAACTGACCTCAAATTCGAAAAGTAAACATATATTCAGGCTCCCCACCAGTTGGGGAACCCGAAAAATCATGTTTTCCGGATGCGACCTTTCCTTCAGGAGTTAGGCCACGGCGTATCTTGCATTTGTTGGCAAATAGCCAATTGAGCATTGAAGCTCAAAATTTGAAACTGACCTCAAATTCGAAAAGTAAACATATATTCAGGTTCCCCACCAGTTGGGGAACCCAAAAAATCATGTTTTGCGGATGCGACCTCTCCTTCAGGAGTTAGGCCATGGCGTATCTTGCATTTGTTGGCAAATAGCCAATTGAGCATTGAAGCTCAAAATTTGAAACTGACCTCAAATTCGAAAAGTAAACATATATTCAAGGTCCCCTCCAGTTGGGGAACCCAAAAAATCATATGTTTTCCGGATGCGACTTCTCCTTCAGGAGTTAGGCCACGGCGTATCTTGCATTTGTTGGCAAATAGCCAATTGAGCATTGAAGCTCAAAATTTGAAACTGACCTCAAATTCTAAAAGTAAACATATATTCAGGTTCCCCACCAGTTGGGGAACCCAAAAAATCATATGTTTTCCGGATGCGACCTCTCCTTCAGGAGTTAGGCCACGGTGTATCTTGCATTTGTTGGCAAATAGCCAATTGAGCATTGAAGCTCTAAATTTGAAACTGACCTCAAATTCGAATAATAAACAGATATTCAGGATCCCCACCAGTTGTGGAACCCGAAAAATCATATGTTTTCCGGATGCAACCTCTCCTTCAGGAGATAGGCCACGATGTATCTTGCATTTTTTGGCAAATAGCCAATTGAGCATTGAAGCTCAAAATTTGAAACTGACCTCAAATTCGAAAAGTAAACATATATTCAGGTTCCCCACCAGTTGGGGAACCCAAAAAATAATGTTTTCCGGATGCGACCTCTCCTTCAGGAGTTAGGCCACGGCGTATCTTGCATTTGT